TCAATTTTATATATAACGTCATATTTCGATTTATATTCCATGTTACGAGAGTCCTATATTACGTTCCGTTAAGTAGCAGCTTCGTAGATGACGTCACTCATAGGTGTGCGCAATGAACTACTGCGCATCCACTTGCAACTCAGGGGTAGCATTCGCTGATGATAGGTTAGGTTAGGTTAGGTCAGATTAGGTTTGCGCAGTAGACTACTGCGCATCCATCTATAACTCAGGGGGACCATTCGCAGATGTTAGGTTAGGTTATGTTAGGTTTGCGCACCTTGGAGGGGGCGAAGCTCGGTAATTTACGCTAGTGGTCGGTTTACAGTGAGCTTTATGACAGGTGTGCGCAAATGACTACTGCGCATCGTTATGTTCAGTTGAGCTCTATATGGCCGTCTGCAAAATCTTACGGTTCAATGTCTCTCAGAGCGTATGAAATCATTATATATATTTACGGGGCATTATATTTCCGAATTTTTCACATGTTAAACTCTTGCATATATTATTCTCTTAAACTCTCTACGTAATCTACGAAACCTGGAATATATTTCGATGTTTATAATGGTCGTAAATGCACTTTTTCCGATATATTGACATTTCAGAACGCTCTCTAGTGCATTCTATTGCAATTATCTTAATTGGCTCTTACAATTTCCAACAGTTTCCGAAATATTGTCTCTTCCAATGCTGCCATTATTAAATTTATTATGTTTTTCGACATATGTGAAGCATAATGCCAGTGTGTTTGATATTCAGTAATCATTGGCATCACCGTGGGGGATGCGTAAACTCGTGGGGTGGGAGCGGCGTTTTCGTCACAATGTAAGCTATCACGTAGTAATAAAACCTAGGGATATATGCAAACACAGATTTGGATTGTTTTGAAAAACAGTCAACACGCTCAATTTTAATTATAACTTCATGTTTCGATTGATATTCCATGTTACGACAGTCCTATATTATGTTCCGTTAAATAGCAGCTGCGTACATGACGTCACAGTTAGGTGTGCGCACTTTGCTACTGCGCATCCATATGTAACTCATGGGCCTGCCCCTGGGTACCAATCGCTGATGTTTGGTTAAGTTAGGTTAGGTTTGCGCAGTAGAATACTGCACATTCAACTGTACCTTGGAGGAGGCGAAGCTCCCTAAGTTACCCTAANGGGCCATTATCTCCGTAACCGTTCAACTTTGGACATAGGTGTTTTGGGTTATATCGGCATACTTTAACATAAGGAACACCCTCCCGAAGTTTGGCACATTCCTCCTGGGACACCCTGTATACCTTATGGGTGATGAGTGGCAATGTAAAGATTTTTAATCGAAAACTGAAAAGTTTCCTCACAACAAACGTTTTTTATTCAATAGATGAATATATTTCTGCTAAGCATGTATAACATTTAATAACTATATTCCTTGTAATTTTGTTTATTAAAGACAATGTAAATTATGGCTATTTGGTGCTTTTGGTTGTGTTGTTTACTGCTGACATGATTGTACTTCTGCAATCGTATCTTATTTTGACGAGTTCAATATCCGGTCCAATTCGGACAACGGATCAATGAATTTATGAATTATGTATGCAGATGAAAGGTATCCAGCCCACAATTCTTGCTCATATATTAGATAGGAAAATCACTGATTAAGATCTGGACCTAAGTAAATATCCTTCGACACTCTTCTAAGCATTAAAACACAAAACGAACACATCACTATAAATATACTAGACTAAATTATAAAATAAAATTACAAGAATGTCATCTGTAACAACTCGTACTTTCCTGTATACGATGTGATTCTGTAACTACAAATGCGCAGAATGTGCTACAGCTGGGACCCAGTGTAGTTTACTGCTGCCAACAAAACCAATTAGATCTAATAGGTATGAAGTAGAAATAAAGATGCTTCTAATATTATACATTTCTATCCTATGTTCTGGTAACTGAAGAAGTATAACTTACACTGTTCTAGCACTAATCATAATGAAGAAACAGAAAGCTCGTATGTCTATTCACCAAGACCATGTGCAAACAAGGCACTGACTGAACTGAAAATTAACAGTGCACTATTGCAGGCTGGAGGATTTATGTGAATATAACTTCTCACACTGTTACGCTGTAAGGGTGGGGTGGTTAAAGAAATACTGCAGTGCGGCCCGCGTGGCAGGCGAACATTCTACTACTGTACAACCCCATACGTAACGCCATGGCGATGGGTGGGGTTCGATATCCCACGCTGCCACCAATTTGTACTGCCGTGATGGCAGGGGTGGGTAAAACATTACTAATTCACTAAGTCAGCCAACCCTTCGTTGACTCGATCCCCGCAGCTGCCACCAAATTGTACCGCCCCAAGGGGGGGACTAGGTAAATTCATTAATCACTGAGGTATCTGCGGCCTTGGCTTGAGTGTGCAATTCTCCAGGATTCGGGGAGATGCCGGGGTCGACAGGGAGAATGATTAACACTTGAGGCAATGCTAGTTTCATTAACGTCTCACCGCATCTGTATTCATCTATATCCCTATATACATAATACATACACAATTTGCCGACGTTTGTCGGTTCGCATTACATTTAGGTTAACCTGTAGTACAGATATTCGTTCTACTCCTGTCACCCTGCTATTGGGTGTCCTATACCTCTGTCTCTCTCTTTCTCTGTTAAGCCTGGTCCATCTAATCCTCGTTCCCTCTCCCCGAGGTTTGCACTTTAATATTATCACACTTAATGTTTATGGCTTATATGAAGTAGGTCCACTTACTTGTACTGATGAAGCAGGCACACACCACCAACCAACATCTACTCAGCGCCATCTCTCTCTGCTGTTCGGCGATAGCTTTAGGCTGCCTCTATTGACAATCTCCTTCAGTTCCCATCTTTCTGTCGGTCCCTCCTGCGGACTCATCCTTCTGGTGTCCAGGCTGTCGTCCTTGGTGTTGTCTGCTATGGTCCTCCCCCTAGCGTCGCGCATCTTGGAAGATGAGTAACGCCCGTCGGCGTCTCCATAGACACAGACCGAGTACTGTGGCCGCTGATGTCGAGCCGGCCACGATTCCGCTGCATATCCATTTCTGCTTCCGGAGCCTGGCCTCCACCTGCTGCTGCAACTGGAGGATCGTCATGGGGGTGGTGGGTCCGTCCCTCGAGTCTTCCCATGCGTCCCACACCTCCAGTAACTCCTGGTGCTGCTTCACGTACGAGACTTCTGCTGGGAGCAAAAGAGCTGGTGCCTGCGGCGCCATTATCCCGGGGCTCTCCCAATCGGCCTTGGACTCGAACTGACGATTCGCTGGCAGCGTCAGCTGTCCCATAATCAGGTCACAGCCGTCTGGCTGCGTGATGATGCCCGTGCCTTCTATGTTCTTTATGTCCATGGGGCATCCTTGAGTGCTTATGCACCTGCACTCCACCCTTGTAAGCTTCGCTACTACATATAGCCATGAATTTTCAAAAGGGTGTTTCCTAAACACTGGTCTGAAATTTTCTGACAAAATCTCCCGCTTGCAAGACAAGTAGCCCTGACTTGTTTCGAAAAATAAACTACTCAAACAAGTTTCGTAAGTTCTCTCAACTATTGGGACTGTTCCCTTACATATCGTGATCGTTTCCTTCCTACAATTTCAAACGTACCCTGTCGGTAAAATCATGTAACCTGATCCAGTAAAATAGTCTTCATTTTGACAGCTCCAAGAAGTTTACCCAACTACATAATATCTGACAGGATGTAGCTATTGTTTATATGCTCTGGTTGATAACTGTTGGCCATAATACTGGATACAGCCTCACCTCTGAAAAGCTCTGACACTAAGAGTATGGATAATATCATGCTCAATCATGATTTTGAGTCCATGCTTTTAAGACTTCTCTGCTCATTGAAACTGTTGAAAACAGAACCTATCTCATAGGTGCTGTTACTTCGGAATTACATTAAGTTTGATACATTTCAAGGGGCCAGAAAAGTAAATAACATATATAGAGGTGACTCATGTGAACAGGATAGACCATGAGATGTCTTCATTTAGTACACATGGAACCACACAATGGACAAAGACTAAAAAGGAATTGGCCAGCTGACCTGATAAGAGGGTTAACGAGGACTTATCTCTGGTTAAGCACTCTCCACATCATGAAGACTACAACAAATTAGCGTAGAGAATCAAACATAAGCCTCAAATCTTACAAACATAATTCTGATTGCTAATATTATGTAAATAGAAAAAAATTTAGCACACTGGAGTTCACAATAGTAGCTGCTGGTTACACTTGAAAATAATGTCATAAGTCATAACTACGGAGACAGGTGTGGTAAGATGGAATATCAAGTCATGGCCACTTGACTGACTAATGAACCAAAATGAATTAAACAAATGATAGACATATAAAGAGGAGCCTAATTTTAAAAGATTGAAACATTATATAATTTTCCTTCTATCACATGTTAAAAATTTGTGACAATTTATAAAAATGGCTCTTAACAGTCAAGATAAGTATTAAAGACTGGATACAGCAATCAATATGATAGCTTCAGGGTGAAATATTAATATTACAGGCTATAATTACAGCTGCATAATGATTGTAAAATAATTTTGCACACTAAAGTGATGCAAAGAATTTCACAGTCGCTAAGGTGAATTTCTGGCATCTGTATCAATGCAAATGACACAAGAGTCCACTGCAAAACTTAAGGTGATCCATCCATGAGATATACTTGTTTCCTATAGCTGGGCTCAAGGAAGGTGCCAAGTTGTTCAGTTGATAAGGGTCAACATTCAGGTCATAAGCTTCTGTGAAGTTCTGTAACAGTGGCACAGTAAATTACAATAATTTGGCATAAATATATTTATAGTTATTTAAAAAGCAACATGCTTATGCTAAGAGGTCACTCAAAGTACTGTGATAATCAGAACTACAGGTAAGATATGAACAATGTGTGTTCTTCCTCCCCTCATATTAAAACCCTATAACTCTTTGACTGGCGCGGGCGTGTTTTAATGCCCGGACGATGCCAGCCGTTCCCTGGCGTTGGCGTGTTTTAACGCTTTGACAATCTCGTCCCTTCTTTGCTCTCTTGGCACTCATCAACCAAAGACATATATATGATAGTTTTTGTGCATGTTTGTAAAGAACCCTTGTAAACTTTGTGGGGGTCTATATTACTGTCAGAACCCTCTGAGAAGGTAAAGGTCAGAAAATATTTCACATTCATTCAGTTTCACCATAGCTTCTTGCAGCAAGTGTCTTCGTGTTCCTACAGACTAGCTGGAAAATGTTGTGAACGAGATTTTTTTCTGATGATGATAGTGGCAATGAAATAATGATTCCTGAATTGGATGAAGTTGATAGTGACAATAATACAGTGATAGACAATGATCCACAAGACAGTAATCATGAACATTTACCTACCACGAGTGCGGTGCCTGACACGCCCATCTCATGAACGTACGGAGACATTGTACCCCCAATATTTCCATTTGCTAATAGTTTTGGGATCAAAATTGATATAACACATAAAATGCATCCCTTTTCATGGATTAAAATTTTTTCTGGATGACGACTTGGTAAATCACATCACAACTGAAACCAATCGCTATGCTCACCAGCACTTCAACACACATGAGTTAGCTCCTCACTCTCGAAAACACAATTACAATTATGTCACATCAGATGAAATCTGGACATACTTAGGAATTGTGTTCATGACAGGAATCGACAAACGCCCTGAAATTGAAGAATATTTGTCCACTAGGCCCCTATTTCACACCCATGGTATGGACAAAACATGTCTTTGCGGTTGAATAGTTTCATTCTATTCAAAAAGAACACAACAAACGAAAAATACAAGAAGAGAAATTACAGATTCAAAGATTTTATATTGGACTGTGTAGAAAAATGACTGAACCAAACAAACAGTGTGGAGAGGGAGAAAAGTCAAGGAATGAAGTGGATGACGAATCTATTGGGTCAGACTAGAGTGCAGTCACGCCTCCGCCCTCGACCTTGAAAAGACCACCAGTGAAAGAGCCAGCAAATCGTCTAGAGGGTGGCTTGAAAATTCACAAAATGGTCCATGTTCCTAACAGTAACAATAAGAAGAATGGTGCCCTGAGAAAGTGTCGCGTGAGTGCTAATCACAAGGTTAGAAAAGAAACAAGTATCATGTGTGCAGGCTGTGGTGTGGCTCTCTGCAAACTTTCATGTTTCAATGTTTATCACACGAAGAAAAACAAAGAAAGAGGTGTGGAAAAGCATTTATTGCATAAAATATTGTATTTTAATTAGTTCCTAAAAATTTCGTTTTTAAAAACCAATTTTTGTTGAAGTTGTTTAGGAAAAAGTAACAACATGCATTTTAGCGACATAAGGTTTAAAGGGCCTGCCAGGACAGGGGTGGGATTTAAATACCCTTCGCGCCAGTCAAAGAGTTAACATGCATACAGAGAACAGTTTCATAAGAACCTCATTAAATTACCCTGAAGTACACATAACTGAATTACTTTCAGGAGGAATGTGCCCTACATAAAGTGTTGGAAATATTAACCTTTAACGTTCGAATGGCACATATATAGGTTGCAAGCAGCAACCGGAGTTGGCCGAATGACATGTATACGCGCCGCAGGACATATGCTCTCTTTGGGAGTGCTGACAGTTTGACCTTGGGTTGGAAACCAAAACAAACCTACGTGAGGTCATGTCAGTGGTTCATTCCTTAGCCCTGAACAAAGAAATTGTTTATCACAGTCCTGGTTTCGATACTATTTACGTTTAGATATGACTGTTTATGACCTGGTCAGCCAAACAGCTTTTTAAAACACGATAAGTTGCAACACACTATACATCTCTCTGGCGCCACCCATGTTGCACGCAATGGCATGATAAAACTCTGGAATATTCGCTTACTTGTCAGTAAGTTGATCTCGCTGTTTCCTTAAGCCACTATAAGCGATAATGCTTTGTTGCTCTTCAAGCTGTATGTATCAGCCAGTGTTGGGTATGGACAAGGAGAAATTCTTTTCCGATGAGCCAGCTGACCTGCCTTGTGAGATGTGTAGTTATGGTGTTTGAGAGAGCAGCAGTGACAGGGGAGAGCAAAGAATTGTGGCCACTTGTGGCCACAGACTGTAAAAGTGACCGTAGCTCCGATGATAATGGGGGTAATAACATTGCGGTGACCAACATTGTGAGGACAGTAAAAAATATAAAAAATCACAAAAATCTAAACCCTGATTTGAAATTGAAATACAAAGCATTTCTGATGAATGTGGCAAAGCCCTGGGCTACAGACCAGATGGTGGCGGCAGAACCAGAGTCAGACACAGACTTAGTGCGACCGTGCCCATCCAATCCCACCCCATGCAAGCCTCATGTGGATCCCACACGGCGACTCTCGGGTGATATACGGAAACATACCCTTGTGAAAACTGTGAAGAGTGAACATGCCAAGGGGAAGCATCTTTCTAGGCAATGCCGTGTTTCCATAGTTCACAAAAAAAGGAGTATGTTTACATTTGCAAGTTCTCTGTAATGCCACTTCACAAAGGGGAATGTTTCCAGAAATATCACATTCTCAAGCACTTCTAGGAGCAGTGGAAAGTGTTCTCCAAAAATTTTAGTTCATAAAATTAATTAGGAAATTTTATATTAATATTTAAGGTGAACAGTGCACAAGTAAGGGTAGTAGGTTTAAAAATGCTGGTCCCCAGGGTGATTTAAATATTTAAATCGCCGGTCCGTGAAGTGTTAAGATAATGTAAGTAACAAATATGAGGATATAAATGTGAGATCAGTAGTCTTTAAACAATGTTCTGTGTAACACATGTTTATTACAGACTCACCTCTGAATCCCTAAATTTGCAAAACACAAAGTCATGGGAAGGTGTTACATCAGCTGTGATGTGAGGTTCAAGATGACGCACACACATGTAGGTGTTGTTTTTAGAATCTTGACATTTACACTTTTGCTCTGGAATACAGTTCTGAAAAAAACAGATAAAAGTGTGTGACAGTTCTAAGAGGATATATCATATACTTGAATCTAAATAATATCAACACGTTTCCAATTTCAAGGTTGGAACACATATGCACCAATCACTGTGCAAATTTTATGTTTGCCAGCATGCACATCAGTGTGTACTGACTGAAAAAAAGCACAGCTGTCAACCACGGTCAGGCATAAACCCTGAAAATGCTAGCCAAGAGGACTCATCTAGCTGATAATATAAGATATTTGTTGCTATCAAGAAGAAATGCAGTCTAAACAGTTTTGAAGGAGAATGACTGGTGCCATTAACAAGTGAAGTCAGGTATATCAAAAATGTGATAATCTGAACATGAAGACAGAAGAGGGTGGAAGAAATTTTGCACACAGATAACCATACAACTGATTCTTGTTTCAGTTAACATGAAAAATTATGTTGAAGGAAGCAGTCATGGTGTACTTTAATTTCAAATCCAGCATTTTCCTAAGACATGCCTGATGTCACATTTTTCAAATGTGAGGATGAAAAGCCATGGAAATAAAGCGTCCTTTTTAAAATATTCTGAACAGAAAATGTATAAAATAAATACACAAACAGTTATAACCTTAACCTACACAACTGCTGTTCCTGTACATAGAAAGGGTATTTAGATTAAAGTTTGTGTTCCTGGAATCATCTTCGGTTCCATATTTATTCAGACAACCTTCTAGCTGAAATCTATTTCTGAAGCAATAACATCTAAGTATGACATATAAGCATTATTTTTATTAACTTTCTTCCCCTCTAAGTACCAGTATGATACTAACAGTACACAATTAAAAGATATGTATACTACATGGGTGAATAATATGTTACAGCGTGGCTATCCTATGCTGTTGTTAGTGATATAAGCTAGTAAAACATTTGCACCATCCAGCATGTATATATATTTGCTGCTCAAATGCTGGCGAATCATATAGTCTAAACCTCACAACCATGTTAATCCAATTCATAAATCCTGTCCAAGTTTTTTGACATAATGTCATATAATATTACTATTTTACCACAAAACTTGGAATTCTTAAATTTAAAGACAAAGAAAATCCACTACTGTTGTTTTAACCTAACAGAGAAAGAGTTATTATTGTATAATTATGAAATACTCACCGATAAGGTATCACTTTGATCATATGGGCAATCAGGTGAAACTGTCTTCCTACTGCCTTCACCATGATATTCTATCAAAAATTTTCTATCCATTCCTGTCCCATTATTTACAATTGTCTGTGGAAATGGGAAGAAAGAAACTCCATCCATCCATGCTGGTGCTTCTAAACCTGCCATTGCTAAAAATGTTGGTGCAAAGTCAATGTTGAGTACTGGACGAATGTCCATCTGTTTGTGTGGGAAACCTGGGCCTCGTATCATCAATGGGATGCGAATATCCATTTCATATGGCTGCCGCTTATCCCATGGGAGTCCAAACTGACCTGAAGCCCAGATAAGAATAGGATTGCCTAAATGATCCAATATTAAGTTTTACGTGTTGAAGTTAATGATAGCTACATTGAAAAGGTAAACACGGAAAGCTAAGATGAAACCAATCTATTTTGTTTATACACATTAAGTGATGTTTTAAATACCTAATATTTTGTTGTTATAAGGTCATAATATGGGAGCTGAGATAGCTCAGTCAGTACAGTGATGGACTATGGATTGGATGGCCAAGAAACTGGGGTTCAATTTTTCTCTTCCCCACAGTGTCTGGACCAGTTGTGGGCTCAACCACACTATTCAATATATGCAGGAGGCTCTTTCACCAGGAGTAACATAACCATTCAAATCTGGGTGTACACTTTTGTCATTTTTAATTATTTTAATGTAAATTAAATTAAATTAATTAGACTTCATAAGATTTTTAGGTTCTCACAGTGGTGACTGTAAAGAATGCCATCTTCTGGGATGTGGCACCATGTAGATCTTGTGCGAACTGATGTTCTCTGAAATGTTGGTTCACACAAGATGTATATGCTGCCACATCCCACAACATGGCACTGTTCATTATTAGACTTCTTTTGAAATTAATTAAATTTGTGTGAAAAGTACAATGTTCCCACATCATAACATTCATAAATTTACCTGGACATCTCCTGATGGGAAGAAGCACAACCAAATTGACCATATTTTGATAGAGAGGAGATGGCATTCAGGGCAGCAGATTGTGATACTAACCACTACCTGGTGGTGGCAAAGGTTAGAGAAATACTGGCAGTGAGTAAACAAACAACACACAGAGTTCATATGGAGAGGTTCAATTTCAAGAAATTAAATGAGGTACAGGGTAAGTATCCTGCTGAAATCTCAAATAGGTTCACAGCTTTCGAAAACATAGACACTGAGGTGGATATTAGTAGAGCTTGGGAAACTATTGGGGAGAATATCAAAATTTCTGCCACAGAGAGCCTAGGTTATTATGAACTGAAGAAGCATAAGCCATGGCTCGATGAAGGATGTTCAGAATTATTAGACCAAAGGAAATTAGCCAATTTGCAGTAGTTACAGGATCCAAGCGAGTTAAATTGAGATAATCTAAACCAGTGCTCTCCAACGTTCTTATGTACTCGGGCACAATTCACCGATGCCTATGGAGGTGCGGGCACCACCACACACTACTACTACTACTACTAATAATAATAATAACAACAATAAAAATAATAATAATAATAGTAACATTTTTCGAAAATATTTAACAGTACTCAGACGTTCAAAAATGTCTCTTGTCTTACAATTTGAATTAATATTAAAAATCGGCTCAATTATGTGGTTACGGAGGGCGCCAGAAAAATATACCATGAGCGCCGCGTTGGACAGGGCTGATCTAAACAATATAAGACGTGAAACCAGCAGGCATTTCAGGCATAAAAAGCAGAAATATCTGAGACAAAATTGATGAGCTTGCAATAAACAGTAAAAACAAGAATATTAGAGACCTGTATAGAGGAATAAATGACTTTAAGTTTGTTACCTACCTAGAATTAACTTAATGAAGGATGAGAATGGTGATCTGCTGGCAGATTCCCATAACATTTTGAATAGGTGGAAGAATTACTTCTCTCTTACTGAATGTACACAAGTTCAGTGAGGTTAGGCAGATAGAAATACATACAGCTAAGCTGTTTGTACCTGATACTAGCCCTTTTGAGGTTAAAAGTGCTATGGCAAAATTGAAAAGGTATAAATCGCTAGGTAATGATCAAATTCCAGCAGAACTTATTCAAGCAGGAGGCGAAATATTGTGTTCTAAGATCCATAAGCTAATTATATATATAATTGATATACTATCGACATTTGTCCATGGAAGCATAGTGACCATGTTGATTATATATCAATGTTTAACTGGAAAGGGTTAATCACTCAGTACAGCATTTTTGACAGCACAGAGCATCAAATGTGATATTCTGATGTTTACAGAAAAGAAATGGTTTTCAGATTATCTATACCACTCACATTTTGAAGGTCATCTGAGCAGGTTTCCTGGTGATTTCTGGGAAAATTTGTTTATGCCCAAGCAACCTTGATATTTCTCAAAGGTAGATCTATGGTAAAGATTGGGGGTCAAAGGCATAATACATCTTTCAAAATTGAATCATAACAGAGCATTACATCTACATTCAAAGAATAAAACTGATTCCAACACATACTCGATTTAAGCAAGCCTTTCTTCTTTCTTGTTTTTTTGCAAATCTTTTGCAGAAATAACTGAGGTATAAGTTTTCTTGTAGATTTACCTGTTATGATTGAGAATAGGAGGCTTTGGCAGCACCATTGATGATATTGTAATTAAATGTATATATATATATATAGACCTATAAATTTAATTATCATCAACGGTAAGAAACTTTGGTAATCCCTGAGTGCATTTGGGAGAATACTGCTGCTTACTGAATAAATAAATTCAGAAATATATGCATAGCATCCTTTTTGTTAAATATTTCTGAAACAAATCAAACTCATCTCTGAAACTGAGACTTACAGGAAAAGTATATTGGGCATATTATTTATATCTATAACATTTGTTTTAAACCTTTCTTGTTCCAATGAATATTTACTGATTTACAAAAGGAATGACAAAAACACTTGTAGGTCTTCATATAATATATCTGTTATTTCTGCTGAATTTTAACCAAAACTGGAATGTGCTGACAAAATGTAGTAAAGAGTCCTTAACATAAATTTCATCAAAATCCATTCAGCTGTTCATCATATACACAGATGAAAGACAGAGATGTAGCAAACTTAACAGGTGTTTCATAGGGCTATAAACATGTTCAAAAAAGTATGAATCCTACAATAAAACACTATGTCATTTTTAAACATGAAGTACTGAGCTTCCATATTGTGAGTATTCTCAGAAATTTCTTTACTATGTCATAAGACCCCCCATTTCTACCAATTGGACTTACTAAAGCGCATAAAGTAGAATATTGTCATTTGATGGAATGACTATAGATGGATTTACTGGACACTTTAACACACAACTTGTGACTACACTTCACAAATCACTGTCACACATAGACTAGTGTTCTCAGTCACTGTCTTCATTGCACTGCTTGGTAGCGGCTTTCAACGCTGAATGCTCCCTTCCTCTTGGTTCCAAACTGTCCATGGTCCCAGCTACCAGCTTCTGACGTCTCTCAAATGCAACTTCCAACTGACTGCCTGCCTGCCTGCAGACTCTCTCTCAACTTGGACCCTAGTCGGACTAACTGATGGCAGCTGGTCCTCATTATACATAGCCTTGGCATGGACCACGCAGAAGACACTGCTTCCAACAGCTCTACTGCTGCATGCATGCCTGCTGCGGCTTTCACAACTACTGAGCCATTGCCTAGCAATGGGCGTGTTTACAGAGCTATCCCATAAAAATGGCCATCTTTGCTGCAATCACAATTTTGGTTTTCAGCAGACATGACACAATATAACTGAAGTCTGGTATTAACATGTCAATGAATATGAAGTTTATAGTCTTCTGGGATAGACTCTGGGGCAGACCTGAAGATGGAAGCAGCAGGTACATCTGAAACATTGGCACCTATCTACAAAGCTGCATGGTACACATTCCAAAAGACACTTCCAGAATATATTTCTTACCAACATGGTATCCATGATCAGAAGTCAGAATGATATGGGTACTGTCAAGCAGTCCCAACGAGTCAAGTCTGGTAACAATAGACTCCACCAGGTCATCTACAGACAACAGAGTTTCCCATCTTTTTCTGTAAACTCTGTCTAATTCAGGCAGCATGGAATCAGGAAGTGGTGATGGCGGCATCTGAAGTAACCAGTGCTTATCCTAGAAGTCAAATGAACATGGTTATCACATAGTAAGTATGTCAACAATAGTATTATATCGTAGCATCCTGTTACACATCACTTATTTATTCCTGCTAGTTAGCCGTCTCACATGCAACTTGCTTTCTAAAACCTTTGTAATTCTTAAACGTTAAAAATCTCTTCTACATCGCCAGTGGATGAAACTGCTGTGTTTCCTTCTGTAAGTTAAATTTCTGGGATATGCCCTCGTCTGTGAACTAAATCACTTACTCATACATTTTATTAAAATCTGTATTACACACAAATTAATAGACACAGATTAGTCTCATGATATATGTAGCAATGTTTTTAGTACAAATAGTGATAAGTATATTGTAGCATACAGACCAGTTGCTAGGCAAAGATCTCGAAACACACAATGAGACAATAGTTGTTGCTATGCAATGGAACAGCAAACACACCTCTAAAACAACAGAGTTACTGTTGGAAATGGCATTTCCTAGTTGATCCATACAAAGAGGTTATAAGGAAGGCAACTGGGGTGACCCAGTCAGTTGAAAGTCTGCCTATGAAGAGAAGACTAGGAGGTTGGTGTAAAATAGCCACCAGCGTGGGAGTTAGTCAGTTGAGAGTTGAGTTCTGCACAGGAGGCTGAGAAGAGATGGCATTGTGGTTAGTTGTCAGTTGAGAGATGAGCTCTTCATGAGAGGCTGTGAAGGTAGAACCTGAGCACGTGAAGCTGAAGAATCTCCACTGTTAGAAACCATTGCCAGGGAACAGCTGGTGAAGACACAGCAGGCTAGAAGAGGTTTAGTAGGTGCTGTGGTGATTTGTGAATTTTGGAGATTAGCAGTGACACTCTACTTGTAGCTCTGAGTTGTGTGTATAAGTGGTTAATAAATCCATTCACCATTCCAAACCCCAACTATAGTCATCCCTAAATCAGTAAGAGCAGTAAAAACAGAAACAGCTTACTTGGAAAACAGGGATATTAAAATTTGGTGTTCTCATGGCTTTCACATTCTTATAGTGGTCATTATATTCAGGTGCTGGAGTAAATGGTGCATGTGGTGCTGGTGGAGCCAGTACCATTAAGAAATTCTTCTCAGCCACATGTCGTTGACGAAGAAATTCCAGGCCATATGCTTTCTTTAACAGAAAAAACAGCTTGTTATAATACAGTATACTTTAGTGAGCACCACAGTCATAATTTCATCTGTATTATTAACACCAACTAAGTAATATAAAGGAGTATTTTTTTAAGGATCACAGATGTCTCTTTTAAGACCTTTCTGCTTTTCAACAGGTTTCCTTATCAAATAATTATACATGGAATACTTTCCAGCCAATGCTGAGATAGGAAGTACTTGCCCATAACAAAGCTTTCTTTACGTCAGACATGTTTAAAACTGGTATTTTATGAATAATGGTACATAAAAATTAAAACTAATATAACAATGTAAATTTTCTCAAAATTCTCTTAATAATTTTGATTAAAATTCAGATATAATATTCTAAACACCTCACAGCTAACATGGCTTATATATATATAAAATTGAAACAAACATTTGTTACAGAGTGAAAATTGATACTTAACAATCACATCAGTGAGGTAGTCATCGCTGTGTAATACTGCTGTTCCATTCACCGAGAGACTATAGTTGTAGTAACGGGAGTTTCCAACAAGGCCTATCCACCAGTCCCAGCCAGCGGGTATATGAGCTGCACCTCCAGTTTTTTTATATCCATACTGACAGATTAAAAAAAAAATATATATATGTGTGTGTGTTAGTTTAGAATGACAACTGGGTTTATCGAATGCTTATAACTCGCAGCCACAAATAACCATAAGTCTCACTGATGTACACACGACAATGGCAAACGTAAAGTCTTCTTCTTATTACTCTGTCATCACTACTCATTGCTTGGTAGTGGCTGCTAACAAAGGAGATTCCTCACAGCCAACCATGAACTGCCACTGCTCGCTTGTAACACAAACTGAACTAACTAGTCAAAGTCAAAGTCATGATATGACTGCTGGTCAGTCAGCTAGTCAGTCTTGGTGTCAAGCCCCAGAGTATTTGTTACTGTCAGACAGTTGCAGTTTTGTCAACGTGGGATGCCCTCTATGACGAGATGATGGGTCTGTCATTAACCTCAATCACCATCAGTAGGACACACCACCTACTTGTATATTTATAATTTTACATGTTGGCATTCTACATAGTTATGAAGAGGCTGCTGCCTTGTGGACACCAACTATTTACAGTTTTATATGCAACTCTAATATATACTTTGTAAGATTTGAGGTTTTCACAGCGGTGACTATGAAGAAAGTCATCTTCTGGGATGTGGCGCCGTGTAGAAATTGTATTAACCGACATTTCAGAGGAACGTATCGCCTCCATCTTCAGGGTAGAAGACAAGAAGAAATCAATGAGCAAACCAGCTAGAGCAGGTGCAACAGACCGAGTCCAGTCGAATAAACACAGCTGTATAAGAGGAGGAGGGAAGTGAGTGTGGCTACATAGGAAAATAGTAGAGAGGGGGAGGGGAAGAGTCTGGTGGGATGGCCAGCAGGTAGTGGGCCAGAGCTGGCATAGAGCATGTGTTAGGGGGAGAGAAGGGAAGGTTAAATGGAGGTGATATGTTCCTCCAAAACGTCGGCTAACACAATTTCTACATGGCGCCACATCCCAGAAGACGGCTTTCTTCTAATATATATTGTCACACAACAAGTAACAATAAAAGGGATTTTGATTGTTAATCAGATATATTGGACACTTTAACACACAACTCATGACTACACTTTACGGGTCACTGTCACAAACAGACTAGTTTTCTCAGTCATGGTCTTCACTGTGCTGCTTGGTAGTGGCTTCTAACGCTGGGTATTCCCCTTCCTCTGGGTTCCTGAACTGCCCCAGGCCTCAGCTACTGCAACTCTCAACTTTCTGACTGCAGACTCAAGTATCCAGCTCTACTGTCACACTGAAATGCAGTTCAATAGTGTGTGGGCGCAGTAACCATGTATTAGCCTGATGATGGCTTTAGAAGCCGAAATATGTAGCTAAGGTGATGTTGACCTAGACCATTTCGTTGTTGTGTTATGACAGATCCCAATAAAGAATTGAATGCATATTAAATCCTTTAGTGGCCAATTTCTGAATTGCAAGGTTGGTTTTTATCACAAGGAACCAGAAGTCAGTTTAATTCTGATACTTACTTGGTTAAGGTACTTCCCAGCATAGAACGTGGTGTAGCCTGCTTGGTGGAGTAGTGCAGGCCAAGTCTGCGGTTCGACATGTTGCTGCCAGTGAAGACCACTGCAACCACCACTGACTGAGTTGTTCAGTGTGCGATGATTGTGCTGGTATTGCCCACTAAGTATTGATGCCCGACTGGGGCAACAAATTGGAGTAGTGACAAACTGTGACAAATTTCGTTATCACTTTCCTTCATTTGGTAAGTTAATGATTCTATATTTGTATAGGCAATGTTTACGCCTTTTCCCAAGATACAACTCTATTCGCATGATTAATTTGATAATCATCTGAGGTGGGAATTACAAGGTGCTATCTCGAGACTGCCCAGAATACAGCTTCTAAACAAATGCACTACATTGTGCCATTTCCAGGCATCCTTTCCTCTTCTTCCTCCTACTATTTTCCAGTACTTCTCTGTATCTCACTTCTACTTTCTCTTTACCTCATTTTATTTTACCTTTTTAATTTCCTTCTACCCTCCTACACTTACTAATTTTCCATCCTTGACTTTAACATTTCATTATAAACACAGGGCCACAATTTCCTACTCTGTTCTTCACCACTCCTTTCTCCTTGTACCTTGCTCTTTTAGGTTTATTTTCCTTAATTTTACTTTTCTGCCTTACTCATATTCCTTCTTTCTATGCTTCAAAACGTTTTCTTTGGCGTCTGCTCTTAAAAACAGCCTTATTCAGGGCCAATGGCTTCCCCTGATTTGCCCACAGCCCAAGTCCTGATCTTGCCTTCCCTTTATCTGCACAGATTTTCACTCTGTGGCTTCCTCTTCTACCAAGATGATTGAGACAATACATTCGCCCAAAATAATGGTACCTAACTGACACTACACATCTCAGAAGACTATAATCTTGAAATCAGGTCATTGCAAGAAGTTGAAGGATTCTTCACAACACAACAAGTATCTTCCAGAGAGAAGCTTTAAAGTTCAGAAAATAATGTTCTGGCCTTAACTTTGAGTGGAGAACATGGGAGGAAAATTGTAATCAGATCCTGGATGTTTTGGAGCTTACACACATGGCAGTTAAATGATTACTATGACTGTATGATCATTCATGAAACAGAAACCTTAGTATCACTGTCTTTAATCCTAACAGATTGCAGAGTTAAATTGCACTCAAGCAGTTAGTGCTCCAAGCTCACAGTCTGCAGATTCCTGCTTCAAATCATGGCTCAGAGACTGGCTGTCGTATTCTCAGTCCCTCCGGTAAAATGTCTGAATAGTACAATGAATCAGCTACAGCCACTTCCTTCCACATCCTTTTCAACTCATCATTCACTAACTTTCCTACCATTCAACACTATATATAATCTGAGTTTGTGACAGTGATTAAATAAACTGAAAATTAATTAATTAATGTAGGTATGTTTGTACTAGAAACTCCATTTCAGAAATAAAAAATTACCTTATTTTTACGTGCATAAAAGATCAGTACTAAGTTCTGTAAAACAGGTAGGCCCATGCAGTCATAAATAATAGGAATAAAAGTAATGACCTCGATAGGAGTATCATGCAGTGTAACATACGTATATGAGGTAACTTATTTTACTGCCTTTACGTGTTTTGGCCAGTCACGGTAGCCGAGCAGTCTAAGGCATGTACTGTCTTTACTGGCTTGGGAAGCTGGGATCATGGGTTCAAATCCTACACAAGGCATGGTTGTTTGGTATGTGAATGTGTTTATTCTGTTTGTTTTGTCCTGTGTTTAGGCAGAGGTCTTGCAAGCTGATCACTCATTCAAGGAGTCCTAACATCTGTAAAATGATAAAAATGAAAAAAAAAAAAAAAAGTCAACATCATAAACATATAAGAGAAACGGCTTAAGTAAGTAAGTAAGTATATGTTCTGGCCCATATGCGTCATCTACAGGAAACATACATTAAAATGAAATGCTTCAAAACTGATTTAAAATTATAACATAACAGTCTGTCTAATATTACAAAATTACATCTAGTTATAAAATTTGTGGTATGAGCACTGTCCTTTCATCTTGCTTGCTATCTGTTATTTCTGTTATAGTATTGTGGCATGCTGCCACAAAGCCGGAATGGTTGAGATCAGGGTTGCTTTCCTAGGCAACGAGCGACATTCCTGTTACAATGGCTAGGAATACGAACACATCCATTGCTATACAGCAGCTAGCAATATCCAAGCAACGAATTGTTCATTGTGTAAGAGTGGGCAGAATTAACCCTTCAACAGGGTACTCCTTATTGAGTCCGAGGCCAACTTATAACAGACCGTTCGCCAGAGACCAGCAGATTTTGTATTTGACTAGAACAGGAGAGAGTTCTTATCTTACAAGGGCTAAGGACACTTGAGCTACAAGCAGAAGACACTTCACCAAGATAGCGGTGCAGAAGTGTTGTAACATTGAAGAAGAAATGTCTAAAGGACGTTATAAGTGAAGAATAAGTGTGACTATAAAAGTGACTGTCCAATAAATATTCATTCAAATCCGAGAACCCACAAAATTTCTTGTTGCGTTGCCTAGCAAACATGCGACAGTATATACAGATAAATTTGATTTGTTTCATTCTAGTCCGTCACACTAACAATTATAAATACAAACCACTCCGTCCAATGTGACATGTAAGTTTTACTATGTTAAAACTTATCTCCCTTACATGTTTCGGTCCTTACGGGCCATCTTCAGAGGGAACATTATTACAAACTGGAAACTACCATCACAATAGGTGTTTTGATTTAAAATACATACACTTATATCCTATAATGCACAGTACACAGAGTTGAACGTTTCACAATCACAGCAGCTTCCTGGTGTTGTGAAGTTTTTAAAAGTTTTTAGATGTTATTTAAAAAACCTTTATTGTCAATAGTTAAATTTTTTTTAAAACCATGTAGGTTTGTGTCTGTACTCCTATTGTGGTTCTTGTATGGGGCAGATTTTGTGCTGCCTGTCTCTCTTGATGTCGCCAAGGTCTGTTCATGGCTTGCTGTGCAGCTCTTTCCCCAGGGGTAGAGTGGCCGGGGCGTGAAGCTGACCGCTCACCTCCAACTAGTGCCGAGGTCAATAAAAAGAGGATCTATACATCCACTCCCCCATACACCTTCATGGTGTAGTGCTTAATTAGTTAAGCACAGGGACAACTTTACCTTTTTACATTAAGGGTCAGTGTGATCATTCTCATGTCCAATTTGTTCACCGGTGAGATGGCAAGCCAGCAGGAACTGGTTATGATAAATTGGCAATATACCACCGAAGGTAAGCTCTTGCTGGTCGGTTGTCAGGAAGTGACAACAGAGTGCAACTTCACAAGAACCTGCACTGTATAACTCATAAAGGGTGCAGTGATTTAACTTTAATAATGTAACGTGTCTCGAATCCAGAAGAGTCATTTCTATGGAAACGCTACAACAGACCGTTGCATAGGAAACAACAATTGCACTATTGTAGTTCTAACAGGAGTCTCCACAGTTATAACAGAGGGTTCATTTGCATAGCAGCGACTGAGGTTATAAAATGGGGTTGAATGCATTCACACAGTCTGGATCCAACCACCGAAGAAGAGAGTCTCAGATTAGCCGCCAAAGAAAGCAGTCCAGTATTGGTTGAGACATTGTGTAAGCAGTGATTGTAACACTGCAAGAGCGAGTGGAATAAATTCGCTATATCAACCACAGCATAAACTTATTTGTAACGTGACACACCCAAACACGCTACCAATGTATTCCTATAACATTTGGGTACAATCTGAGGACCACCTGAATACAACGTCCCAATACCTGTGAAAAGTTCCTGCTTTTGAGATTCAGTAGTACACCAATAACTCTCTGTAATGATTATAGACAAATTTTCTTGGATATTTTTTTTATTCAGACTACTTAGTGTCATAGAGTAGGATGACCAGAGAATAATGAATTTGCAAGATGAGGAAGTGATGACGGCATAATTTGATGTACTATCCTAACATCTGCCTGTAGGAACAGTACAAACCATTAAAACCTAATAAATGATACAAATTCCGTCCTAAGTGCAAACAATATAAATTTATATGTCTTTGATCTTGTTCTTTCTACACTACATGTTTCGGCCTCTATCGGCCATCATCAGGTGTATACTCTTAACGTTGCTGCCACACTGAACCCAGTCTAAAACTTAACATTTAAAAACACAATGTCACGTTCTTCGTATTATCAACATCTACAT